ATTGCCTATCATTGTTGCTGCACTGTTTTTGTTGTTTAATGGATGAATCCAGACCAAGGAACCCTTCAACCTCCTGCACCTCTGTGGTGAAAAGAGGATGGAGTTTGTTTTCAGGACCACTATGCCTCAATGCAAACTGGGAAAATAAATCCAAAACTGCTTTCAAACAACTTCCACGGCCAACCGGTCACCGGACGTGGGGGATACAGTGCTCAGACTTGTGTACACCAACAGAGGACTTTGTCCTTGAGCTTGTATACGTTCACATACACTAACTATTCTTTAAGCACTGCTCCTGTAGGTTGTCTGCTACCTTAACACATCATTCATCCACAACCATATCGGCCCCCACACACTCCACCATTGTACCCCAGCAGCACAGAAGCGTAATGGCCTTTTATCGATTCTTCCTTCTCTCGCCGTCTTTCTTTTTTTTTTACTTGCTCTGCTCTCTGCACCCCAATGAGAGGTTGTTAAGATAAGCTGCTGTGTGAGGAGGGAGCCCTGCCCTTCTCTTCTTTTTTCCAGAAGCTGGGTAGCAAGGGTGTGTTGTGCTTGTGTCAATGTTGCACGTGTATGCAGCGCATATATTGTGTGGGCTGGTGTCTATTTAGCATACGTGTGTTGGCATGTTGTGGGTTAATAAGACGAGAACTTGGAGATACAAAGGTTTATCTGCTGTTGTGTGCAAATTGATCCAGGAATAAGACATTCATTTCCTCCCAAGAGGATAGTAGGAAAGCAGCCTGGTGACAAGCAGGGTAATTCTATGGAAAAGCTATACTGCCCTTTGTACCTCACGTCACTCCAGCTTTCCTGTAATATTCCACTTAATTTCAGTCAAGCGATTGTGGTTATTGCAATCGTTTATCTCAACTGACTCCAAATTCAAATCTTTGTGGTAGAGGCAGCATAATGGATGTTGGCTGAGCTCATGTAAACCTCTGTTTTCATAATGGAGTTCCAGGTTAATGGCTCATTGAGTGAAAACAGACCTTCTATCAGGCGCACACACACACACACACACACACACACACACACACACACACTCTATAGTGACTTATTCGTCACCAGAGACTACACATTCTGTCTTATCATATAATCATGAGCAAAAATGTTCATTGTTCACATAAGGAAACAGGGATGAGAGTTGATGTGAAGGTCTCAGATACAGAGCGTCGGCTTTGTAGGGCGCAATGCACATAAATGTAATTTGAATATCGGGTGTGAAAAATGTGACTCACAAGCAGACTTCAGTGGAGAGAGGGAGGGCTGGTATACTCTGTGTTTGCCTTCCTTCTATTTCCAAACCCCAAACGTACACATTAACTGAAACATACACACCCACACCCTCTTCAGATTTCATTATAGAACCTGAAATGTATTTGAGGTCTAATGATTTTGCCTCAACTATGTGCAGAATCAGGGCCGTTCCAAGAGGGTAAGCAAAGCAGGCAATTGCCTAGGGCCCTGAGCTGAGAGGGGGGCCCCCCTGAGAAGATTCACAGCAATGATAATTTTGAAAGAACTCTATGAACTCTATTAATGATTGGCTACGTACAGGACTCCCTCTGATTGTGCTCCATGCCAAAAGCTGGGTGCTGCGCGGGGGTTTGGTTCAATGTAGGGCCCCCCCAAGGTCTCTTTACACACAACCCACAAAGTCCCTTAAAACACACCTGCAGAGAACAGCACTAAATTGCTCACTTTTGCCCAAACACAATACTTCACTTCTCCTTCGCCCCTTCCTCACTTTCAGCAGCAGGACTTTGTTTCCCTCGTGGCAGAACAAACAAACACCAACAATCATTTACACGTTTGAAACAATTCCGGGGGGGGGGGGGTCCAAAAGCACTTTCAAACATCCTCCAAGGTCAACCAGTCACCGGATGTGAGGAATGTATCGCTCAGAGTTGTGCACCAACAGCTGATTTTATCCTTGAGCTCGCACACGCGCACATAAACTAACCATCCTTTAAGCAGTGATTGTGTCGGTCATCTGCCACCTTACAAACCATTCATCCACACAAAAAATGACATGCTCAATTTGTGAAGTATGTAAGAAAAGCTTGGGATCGGCAATTCAAGGTGAAGTATTACTCTCCGATTGGACGTTGTTTAGAAAGAACCTGAATATGTGCCATAAAAACTATGGTCTGCTTGTGTTACAGCAGGTTCCTTTGAATCTCTTCTGTGAGACTTTGCTTTGAGTGAAAAATCTGCATTTGAGTCTTTTTCTAATCTTTTATAACTTCAAAAAGGTTGTGGTTAAATAAGTTGTGTATATGTAATATCTGAAAGTTCAAGGCCCATTTTTCCATATTTTTGAAGAACTCTTTTGCTTTTATTTTATTAGAGTTGTACGGTAACATCATACTGTGGTGAAACTCCTTAAGGCTTTTACTATGAAGAAAAAATAAAACAGCCATACACTCACAAAAAATTGCCACCTGCAGAAGAGGGGGGTAAATAATAGTCTCCCTTTTCCCATTCTTCAAAATGTTCCCAAGTGTAGCGTATTGACAATCTGGGCGAAATAACTTCCAAACACGTCAGAGAGCGCGATCGTAAAACTGAAAAATATGATGTGCAAGAGAGGAAGAAACAAGGTAGAGAGGGCCTCTTATTAATAGGCTTTCAATTCTTTTATCTACAGTTGAGCTTTAAATTGTCTTTTTTCTTTTACCAAAGGGAACACGAGGGTAAAGACACAAAGCAAACACTGGCACCAGCTCTGACGAACAAAGAGCTGTCGAGAGACCACTTTTCCTTTCAAAGGTTTAGGCCTCTAAGTAGTATGTTATTGAAACTAAGCTGTGATGAACAGGATCCACTCTTATAGTAAATCCTCAGAACAAACCAACACACCGAGAGCTCAAGGATTACCAGACGTTGTCTTAATTGATCTCATTATCTTCTCCTTGCTCCTCTCTCAAAAGGATCTGGTGATATCTCTTGAACGGTTTCAATTTGATATAAAGTATTAATGTCAATGTTTTTTTGTTTCCCCACTTCAAATTAGTTTTGGGAAATAGTTAGGAGAAGACTCAGCTGACTGTGTTGTTACTGTTACCCATTGTTTAAAGGTTCAACTTTCACATCTCCACTCTTTGGACCTTCTGACTTTCCAGTTTAGTCTGAACCACAAAAGGTGGAAAAGGTGAGAAAGGAGCCATGAAAATTTAATCACTGGACCATGCTCGGTTCGTTTGCGAAGGAAAACATTTTCTGGGATAGTTCAGTCTTTCGGAGGAAATGCAGGAAGTCGAGACGGCATTAAGCAAGAGGAAGGGAAACAGAAGTTGCAGTGGCTCGCAGGATTGTTTGCAGGCTTTGCCTCATTCTCATAATGTATGAAACCTTAATTTAGCTGGTTATGATATCACAGAGGCTTTTAGTCAGCTTCCTAAATTACAATGTAAATCAAAAACTTACCAGATCAAATGTAAACAATGAAACTAAGACATGACTCTTTGTTTAAACCTTGTTTCAGACTTTCAGGTGTAAAAACGTCCTAAAACTGAAATAAATGATTTGGTAGTTGGTATTTGAAGAAAGTAACCTTGCCTCTGCAGGTCTGCTCCTCATGAGCTCCATGGCTTTTATTTCAATGTGCAATAAAAATAATCCATCAATAAAAAGTTGGTTTACTTTAATGTAATGCTTAATGATTTTTATATTATTTAAATATTGATTATTTTATGTTAACCCCTTTTTAATTTTAACTTTCTATTGATTGGATCAATATTCAATTTGTATTTTATTGCACATATTAAATAATAAATGTATTTCTTATTGAGTTTATTTATTTGTAGATATTATCTTTTATCTCATTTATCACTTATCAAATATTTTAATTGCCAAATTAATTCATGAAATGATTTATTTTCCTTGACACTAAGGGTTCTCCATACACACGTGTGTACATTTATATAATCACTGTAGTGGCGAATATTACTGCCCCTGGCTGCTCATTATTATGTTTGGCTACTTAAACACATTTCAAAGATGCACGTGATGTGATGAGCCGGCTGTCAGCAGTGGTAAAAATAAGATTTGAATCCATTTCGTATTCAGAAAGAATATCAGCCTCAAGTTTTCTGATAAATAAATCATAATTTTACAGGTTACCACAAACAGTGTAAGGATGTGGTTGTTCCTTTCTGTTTCAGTGATCTTTAACTTCTCAGATCTGTCAGCACATGGGGGATCACGCTGTAATTGTTTTAGGTCTCACATTATGAAACCGCCTCCCCCTCAGCTGAGTCAGTGCTACTTTGAAGAACTTCTAAAAGGTTGTGTTGATTTTTTTCCAATTTGTTGCTCACTACCGTTGTTTTATTTTCTACGAGAGTGCACTTAAGAGTAATTCACTCAGGTCATTTGCAGTGTAGGCGCCCGTCTTTGAGCTCCCGCTGAGGTTCTTTTACTCGAGTCATTTTGTTCTTGTTAATGTGAGTCTTTGAAGTGCACTAAATACGAGCGTCTCGTCACTCTGTTTAATCTCCATCAGATCACTACACTTAATGTGTCAGTCACAGACATCAAGGAACTGAAGAAAGGCTTATATGTGAGTTAAAGTTGATGAGAGCTGGCGGCTCTTTGATTGAGCCCTCGAGGAATGTGACAAGCAGCAAGGATCCAGTCTGGTGTGATAATATGAGGGAATCACTGTGAAAGAACATTATATCATATAGTTTGTACAGTAAGGAGGGGTTGGATGGTGTTGGTATAAATGTCTCTGCAGCGTGGGGGCAACATGAAACTTAGCCAAGGTGCTGAGCCCTTTCCCCCTGAGCAGCAGGTTCCTGGTTCAACTGCTAACCAGCTGTGCTCACTCCCCATGTTACCTGTCCCTCCATCATGGTTTCTATAAAAATAAAGGTAAAAGCAAACAAAAGGTTGATCCAATCAGTTGATGAATGTGACACTGATGGAGCAACATGGACGAACCGGCTAGCTTTTTCTACTTGGATGATTTTTTACTTTTTCCTTTGCAGGACACCGAGATCCTGAACACGGCCGTCCTCACGGGGCGCACGGTCGCCATGCCGGTAAAGGTAGTCACCGTAGGAACAGACGGAGCAGTCTCTGACGTGACGGAGTCCGTGGAGTGCAAGTCGACAGACGAACAGGTCATCAAGGTAAGCGGGGCGGGACTAATGATGCAGAAATGGTTTGTGCACATTAGTCTCGGATGCAGGTCTCAAGTTTATTTTAGTTTTATTTTTTTTCTTGTTTTGGTTGAATGGGATGCCAGAAATTGTGTTTTTCCTTAAGTTACGAATCAATAAAATCAACAACATATTCTGGGGATCATCTGGGGAAATGCTGTTGAACAGCTAGAAGAGATTATTTTTGTTACACTGAACAAAGTGTTATATAATTGGTTCCTTTATGGACTAAAAAGCATTTAAGAGGACATTTATTGATAAAGAAAATGCGATAACCAGTACAGCTACAGCTCGTTTGGCAAACTAGTTAGACAAGGAAGGAAAGAAACAAACTAACAGAAGACCTGTGTCTCAGAGGCAATTTTACAGGTAAAGACATACCCTGGATTCATTGAGATTTTAATTGAAGCTACAACTAATAATTATCTTTTTTCCAATTAAGTCATTATTTTTCAATTAGTCTTTATATTGTTTTCAATTACTCCATTGTTTAATTCACTAATAATTAATAATGGTAACCTCCATTAATCTTTTAAGCTAAAAGGCATCTATCAATACAAGCAGTAATGGTTTACATCGACTCATCACTCCAGCTCCATTTTTTATGTATGTGTGAATATATGAGAACAATATGAGCTGTGTTTCCAGAGAGTGGTAGCAGAATATGGATTTGGAATTTTTAATGCATAAAAGACACTGCTGTCAGAAAGTGTATCCTCGATTTGACTGGAACAAGAAGAGTTTTCTCTTCAGTCCTCGTCTGCAACCTGCCAATAACACAAGTCAGAGAAACCATGAAGTGTTCGATTGATTTTCTACTCAAGCAAGTTTCAAATCTCTGTACGCTGATTTTCATTGGCTTTTAGAAAGCTTGGGTAATTAATCCAAAACCCTATTAAATGCTGCAATGTTACACAAGATGTCTTCATGTAAAGTTATGTAATTAATGTAAGTTTTAACACTTGGTTCTGCTAATATCAGCCCTTCAACATGTCAGCATTCTATTATGAGAAGAGAAAAGCAGGAAGAATTAAAAAAAATAAACTGTTGTTAATTGTGCGTGTGTGTGAAGAAGAATCGTCTCGTGAGTGTGTCTGTGCACCATATGTGCACATAAGAGAGAAGAGGCAGATCTCTCAAAGGGTTTAATTATCCGCTGAAGCACCACACATTGTGACGCTGACCTCGGTAGCGTACTCGTCTTCCCACCCGTCTGGTTTGGGAACAGTGAGTGGCGTGCCTCTCTCCATCCTGTTTTCAAAGGGAACTCAAAATAAAACACCTTCTGATTGGAAGCTATATCTTCCTCCACTGTTTCACTCAAACTTTGAGGGTTTAGTCTCGTCCTCTTTTTTTTAATCAGACTTACAATCTGATTTGGGCAGAGTTTTACCATCCTGACCAGAGACTGTTTTGAAAAGTTGGTGAATTCAAGAAAGTTCCAATATTGAACTCAAAATGTGGTCAGACTAATAATCTAAGTCTGCTCCTTGGCCACCATCCCTTAAACACACATTCAGCATTGATCCCTTTCTGCAAACGTGTTACGATCAGTAATAAATGTTTCGGCTAATTGCCTGTTTTGATGGTGCACGTCCTCCCTCCTCTGCTAAGCTGCTCTCCTCTAGACATGATGCAGTGCAGTGGTGCACAGTGTCCTCCTCTGATCCATGCTGATGAGTTTGGTTAAAGCGGCTGCTGTTCGTCTTTTCCCTCCCGATGCCCATCACCTTCTTAATCAGATATCAGGGTCATAAGACAGAGTCTCTCAGTGGACCCCTGCTGATTTTGACTGGCTTCCAGCTCACATCTGTGCTTTGAGACCGAGCAAAAGAAATGCTGTTAGAATATATTTTAATAAAATGTTTATCGATCGCGGTCGGAGTTGTTGTGGTGTAGACTTGTCAAAATTACATTTTGATGTTTTGCTAACATTGTTTTGTGGAAACTTTTATGCCAATAAAGCACCTTTGAAATTTGAAGATGAATGTTGAGCTCAACAAACAAAATCAAAAGAAGGAAGTGTTTGATCATTCTTTAAAATGAGTTGTACTGCATGTCTTCCTTCTGACTCGGTAGTATAGACCCCTGCAGTGTCTCTGATGAGGCAGTGAGGCTCATGCAGGGAAGTCTTTAGCTTTCAGAATGAAGACAATTGCACAGTTTGCTGCTGTAAGCAAGAATAAGGCAAGAACAAATTCACTTATCTCTGCAGAGCAATGCTTTAATCTAAATCACCTTCGCCACGAATTACACAATTTGGATTTCATCGTGTCCGTATCTAAGTTTGTGAGTGTGGCTATGGATGCATTTCTAAGCATGCGTGAATAGCAACACAATGGGTTGTTTCCATGGTGAAGAGACATTGATTTGTGCACAGGTTTCATAACAAATCCCGAGGCTGCAGATATCAGTCAAATGCTTCTTTTTCATGCAACGCATGAGATGTTACCTTCCTGAGATCTGAGTGAAATCTTGTTATCACCTCCGATACCTTTCATAAGGAAGTAGAGATTGAAAGGTAGAGATGGATTGAAGTAAAAGCTTTCGGGTGAGATTGATGGAGTGAGGTAGTTTTGTGGCATGGCTTTAGAAACCCTGCACATTACTGCATGCTCGGTCCATTTTCAAACATGCACACACTTCACAATTACACTCATTCACACGCAATATACTATAATCCATCCATTACCATCTACTCATCACACTGAACACATTAACCATTAAGCACCAATGAGGGCATACGGTGCTAATTCTGTAAATGAATAAAACAATCATCAGTTTTTTTTATATAAATTATTTCTTTCAGATTACATGTACACCCGATGTACTGCAGTGAGACTGTGCCGCTCACTATTCACATACTGTATCTACACCATCAGTTACATAAGTGGAGTCACAGTTTGGATTTCCCTGAAGTCGCTTCACTCCACACATGAAAAAAAAAAAATATCCCACTACAGTTCGGCCGCCTCACAGCTTTTATATATGCCCTCTACTGCCTGAATCAGTTTTACAGCAAGACAAATTGCATGTAGGGCTACAACACAATTATTTATATTGTTCATTGTACTGATACATGAATGAATGAATAAATTACTTAGAAAGGATTTCAAAAAAGAAGGGAGAAGTATCTCAGAGGGCGTAACTAAGGCCCAACAGTTGCTTTATGAAAATACACCTCCAGATTTTCAGTTTAGTTTTTCGTTTACCCATTAAACAATCCGTCCACCAAGTTTCGTGGAAATCTGTTCAGCAGTTTTTGCTCATACTGCTAACGAACAGATGTGGAGTCAATGATACAAATCTGAGAAAAGCAGATTTTAGAAAATTACTAAAATGATCAATCTACTGATTTTAATCCAAATCATAAGTTTCATGTTGGTTTTTCCAGCAAACTTTACTTAGTGATGTTTACATCCACAAATTCATAAGACTCACGCTTTCAGTCGTGACTGTTGATCCAACAAACTTAACTGAATGAATGAAACTGGACGTTTGTCCAAACATCCAGTTCAAGTCTTCACCGTCTTTAATTTCAGCCTAAGAATCGTCGTCCTTTCTGTTCTCATGCAGGAAGATGATAATAACATGTAAGATGTGTGGTTATACTGTAGTAGATTGAAAGGAGTGGGAGAGGAGGAGGAAGAGGAAACAAAGAGGAGGAGGAGGAGAGAACTGACAGACACCAGGCTGTCAGTTTGTTTTTAGAGGGAGGAGCTGGTTTGACATCATCTGAAAGTAAAACTGCCAAGCTATATGCAAATAAGTGGGGACAGATGACAGTCTTCTTGTTACTGTTTTTTTGTCGGCATGAAGGCATGAGCTGAAATTATCAGTTGTGCCAGTCAAGATTATAATGGCGCTGGAGATAGAAATGAATTGAAAATGTGGGTGATTACAAACAAAGTTCGACAACTTGGCCGTCATCGGGAGAAAGTGTTTGATGGGAAGATTCTGCTGCTTTGAAGATAAAGACAAGACACTTCTGATGTTTCCTGTTATATCATCTCAGCATGTTGGAGCTGCATCTGAGGAACCTGGGTAACTGATTGGAGTTGTACTTTATCCAGCCAATCTTAATTCAGTTTGAGGGAGCATTTGGTTGAAGCAGGTTTGTGTCTTTCCTCGGCTCCATCTGTTAAGTTGGACCAAAGTCAAAATACTTACACGCATATTATCCTGCATGCACTTGCTTTAAAGATGCATCTGCCCAAACGCATAGAGAGGAGGAGACTGAGCAGACCTGAGACTCGAGGTTTCTCTGAAGCGATGCCAAATCTTTCCACACTCTGGTGTCTCAGGAGGCCGATGGCTGAAAAACTCGAGCCGGACAAAGGAACAGAATTGAATCTTCTCCAAAGCAGTTGAAATGACCAAATTACACTTTTACAGCCACGGAAATAAATAGGGCTTATTAGAGAGACTCTTCCACAAGTTTGGAATACTAAAATCATCTGTTGTCCAAATATTTGGTTTGAAATAGTTTCTCTCTCATCCTGTCATCTCTCTTTTTGTTTCCCCTCAGGTGTCAGAGCGATGTGACTACGTGTACGTCAACGGAAAGGAGACGAGAGGGAAGAGTCGGGTGATGCTGAACTTCACCTACAGTTTCCTGAGTGCACAGCTGGAGATGAGCGTATGGATGCCCCGCCTGCCGTTGCTCATAGATGTGGCCGACCCCGATCTCAGCCAGATTAAGGGATGGAGGGTCCCTGTGAGTGCGGGGAACAGGAGGTGAGACTTTTAAACTCTGGTTATCGGCTGTATTCATAAAGAGCCATAGTCGTACGGCTGTCAGGGACGTTTGGGTTCAGTATCTTGTCCCAACACACTTCTCCAGAGTGGAGGTGCAAGAGATCGAACCACCGACCTTCTGGTTAGTGAGCGACCCTCTACCTCCTGAACCACAGCCACCAAATCTGCGATTTCTACCATAAGAAACTTGATCCTTACTTTCTAAAACAATCCTAAACTCCAGGATGTGCCAAACTGCTGCTGCAGGAGCTGAATGGATTTTATCCAGTGTGCACCCATTTATCACAGGTTGGCTATTTTGAAACAGTCCCAGGACGAGTGTGAATATCTTTATTTAGGTCATTAAACTGAGAGGTTTTTAATAATCCCTGCATGAGAATCCAAATACTATTCTTCACCTGGTAAAATATATGGATTCAGACATATGAGGCAACACAGGTGCAGAGGCAGTGGTGGTGTAATGAGTGTCTCATAACTCACTGACTCGTCTCCCTAAAGATACAAATGAATAATAATTTTGAGCATCATAGAGCGTGGAGGAAAAAATCCCTGAGGGTAAAGAAGTGATGAGATGCACAATGATCTGTGCAGGGGATCGTGAGGTGTTCAAGACGCTTCTAATAACAATATTTCAATTTTGTTACAGGAATGTGGCCAATTAGAACTGAAATAATATTCCAATTAAAATCGGTGATCAGTGAGACTAATTGTCGAATTTAGATCAAGCTGTTGTTATTATCATTATTGTTATTGTACAGACAGAGACTGTGGTGAAGACATTAAGAACTGAAACACTAATGTGTTTGTAAAGTAAAATGTTACGAGTCAGTGCCCCAGCGTTAAATAAGGAATCAAACTGTTTCTTTTTCCGAGCCAGGAAATCACATAATGGAGAATGCAGATTTTTTCCCTTTTTATTGAGACCAAAATAAAATGAGTAAGATAATCATATCACACATTTTTTACAGTGGTCAGTGACCCTAACCCTTTGGTGGACAGACTATTTAACAGTGACACTTTTTATATAAATTATATCTAAACATCTAAATTACATAAAACCTAATTTTGCATTCCTATACTGTGACTTCAGCCACACACAAGATAATATAATAGATCTGTTTTAAACTTACATGAGCTGATATATGAACATCATTCATTAAGCTCCAGTACTGGTGATTCAGGATCAATAGTTTTCTTGTTGTGAATGTGCACAATCAAAATATTATTAGCGGTAGGCTACGTATTTCATATTAAACCACAGTTTTGTTTTTACTTTATTCTTGTCATTCATTATCTCCAACATCTAATAATTAGTAAACATCTCAAACTTTAACCATGATAAAGTGCATTTTAAATAATGTATTAAATGTTGTTTTACTGTTAAATATCAAGTAAGTGACATTTAAGTGTTTCCACCACCGTCAGATCCCACTGGTCTGCAACCCACAGGGTGGCGCTCTAACACAAATACCCCCTGTTACACATGATCGGTCACATCAGTCGTATCTATCAAGCACGTCATTGCATTCAGAATGCAAGCCGTGATCTGAATCTGCATATTTGTTGGTTAACAAAAAAAATGAAAGTGTGGGCTGAACAGCAAAGGTTTTCTTGGCACAGGTTCATCAATGTGTCCGTGCCCCAAATATGCCGGCGCTCATTCACATAATCAAGCGAGACACCTCATTACACCTTGGCTGACCCGTCACTCACTGCAGCAAACATGACCTGACCTCGTGTTTCTGTTACCAGCCACAAATGTCACCTTGGTTCAGACCGACGTCCCTTCACTGATGTGGAGAGAGGGGGAGGGGGCAGCGCAGGGAGGTTAGGAACTATGCTAAGCCATTGGGCCACAGCATGTTAACCTGTCAGCGTGTTTTTCTGCCTGACTGGCCATGCCTCATTAAACCTAATGAAAACTGTCACTGTCAACCCCCGGCCACCCCACTGGTCGAGGGAGAGAGAGAGAGAGAGAGAGAGAGAGAGAGAGAGAATAAAAGGTGAGAGAGACGTAGAATGAGAGAGTTGAAAAAATAGATATCAGGAAAGTCATGTTAGAAAATTTGGGAGATAAATATAGACTGAGAGTCTGACAATGACACTGCAAACTAAGCTATGCAGGGACAGAGAGTGATGGACGGTGAAGAGCGGATGGATAACAGTGATCTACACGCCCAACGACCTCGTCTTCGTCAGCGTGGTCGAGTCCGCAGAGCGTATCTTTATCCCGCGGCTGCATTTTACCCGTCATTACAGCTCCCACAGCTCAGTGAAAAAAAAATACAATATGTTGTTGTTTACCAGCCATGACTGAGTGTGTGTGTGTGTGTGTGTGTGTGTGTGTTATCATGGCGATATGTAGTCCAGGGGACACATCAGGGGACAGGAACTGCACAGAGCACAGTGTGTCCGTCCCATCTGTCTTGATTCTACACTTATGATAGCATCACAACTGAGCAGGATATAGTGTGTGTGTGTGTGTGTGTGTGTGTTAGTGAGTGAGTGAGTGAGTGGGTGGGTGGTGTTGAGATCAAAACAAAGTTTGAAGATGTATAGTCCAAACTTTGTAATGGCTCATAGTGAGGACATCAAAATATTGACAGGTATCAGGCTCCGACGAACATGATGTATTATAGGAGCCAAGGATGAAGTTTGCAGTTTTAATGATTTTTTGGGAAAGTATTCAATCCTAGAACTTTTGGGGGGTGCAGTTGAATCCAACAAAGTTTCTCTTCCTGTCCTCTCTAGTCTAATGTGGCTCTTTTCATTTCATAAAGGAATATATGAACTGGACTAAAAACAGGAAAGAAGAAAAGGAAAAGGACAAAGTGTCAGAAAATTCAATGGCTGAGCTAGCAAAACATTAATTTGCTACAAAAACGTATACCCAGAGATCTATATCTACAAAGCGTTTGCTGTGGGCAAAATAAATGGCAGACACACTGCAAAATATCAGCTGCCCTTTTAAAGAAAATGAGAAAGCAAGCAAAGCGGCAGTTTGTCACTGCGAGCTGTTTAATGGTTTTTTTGAAAACACTGGGAGCCTATGACTCCTGGGAGGTCAGGCAAACCTGCCGCACAGAAGACAGTTGAGGCTTCGACTGCAGAAAATACATCAGAGGGTTTGGAGACTTTGTGGACATTCACGGTGATAAGGAAAAAATGAATTGCACCGAATTGTAGTCGGAAAAAGTAGAATTACACTAGTGTTAACCTTCAAAGTATCTTTTTCCTTCTTTGCACTTCTCCAAGGGGCTTTCTGTACTTTCTACTCACACCTTCTCCTCACGGTTGTAAAGTAACTGATGTGTTTTATTTCCATCGCTCATCTGCCCCCTGTTATCGTACTGCTATAGGTACGAGAGGGTCACGGATGACAAGGATGATGAAGGTCCAGCGGAGGACAGGACGGACAATCCTTGCGTGGCCCAGTATCAGAGCACCACCCTGCGCGTCCTCACACACTTTGTGGCAGACACCAGAGAAGTTAGAGGGGCCACGGATGAGGACGGGCTGGGCCAGCAGAACTTCCTCCTGGGTACGGACTGGCAGGTGGAGGTGACCCAGCTGGTTAAGGATTCACTGAGGGTGAAGGACCCGAAGGTCGCCCAGCTGCTGGACGGACAAGTGGTAGTGGGACTGAGCCCTGGAACCACCAACCTACAGGTAGTGTGTGTAGGACATTTTGGCTGCTCCTCGCATTTTTAAAGGGCTTTTTAAAGGTAACAACTTGGGTTATCATTAGGTTTAGGGTTCATTCCTTGTGACACATTGACATTGAGATTAGCCAAAACATCACCTGGACCTAAAACACCCACAAAAAGTAATGTTTGTGTGAAGAGACGCTCAAATAATGTGATAAAAGAAACTAGTCGGATATAAATAGCAAACGCCAAACTGAAGTCTTGGCCTGGATATCGCAGCCGACACCGGAAGCCCCAATATATTGGCAGTTGCCTCCCGAGAGAGAGTGAGTGTGAGTGAGATAATGTCACTGCACCTCCATTTCATAACACCAATCACAGAAGCTGCAGTAGTTATTGTTGCGAGCACGTAGCTCACCAAGTTTTATAAATCTTTACCTCTGTAGGTTAACTAAAAGCAGCAACAGTTTCCATCACCTGTTTCTTGACACCAAGACTGAAATACATTCTGACTTTTAAGTTCGACTGTTTTCCTCCTTTAACCCACGTTTTCAGTCGTAAATCTGTCAGAGTCCACTCTCATCACTCCTGTTTCCTATAGCAACAAGCATCTGTACACAGCAAGAAAGCTCATCTTATCTTTCCAGCACTAAACAGCAGTACGACAATGATAACGACGAGCCAGCGATCGGAGCAACCCCAAATATTTTTCACAGGGTTTGGAGGAGACAGACACGTATAAATGCAGAGTGAATATTGGACTTGCATTCATCATGTAGCAAGAAAGATAATTCACGGTGTTTCTGCTGGATGCAAACAACAGGCGATTGTCCACATAAGCAAAACCACCTCATGAAGCAATAATGTGTTAGAGGCTGTGCTCTTGAGGTTGTTGTTGTTGAGGTTGTATGTTCCCACATGACTAGACTAAATACTACAGACTGTGGGACTAAAAGAACAAAGAACGAGGTTAGAGGGAAGCAACACGAGTGGAGAGTGAGAAAGATCAGGCTTTGCAGTGGAAAAGCATCACAACTACATTGATTTGCAGCGTGGCACAAACACTTAAGCTTATCACAAGTTGACAGAAAAACATGGCTTCGTGGCATGTCTCATAAAAGCTCTCACACACGCTCAGAAATCTATTTATCTGCTAAAGCAAACAGGTCCTTGCTCAGGACAGCATGAGCGCACAATCACACTGTAAATAAATACTGGCATTTACAAGATGGGCCTACACAGAACAACACATTGTTGAAGCAGTGGACTGTAATAATAATCTCCCTCTCTTATTTATCAATGGAGCCGTGTGCACCGCAGGACTGATTACGTGTTTAATACTGTGCCGGCTCACCGATGGTCGGGACGTGATTTGATCAGAGGGGAAGGTCAAAGAGATATAAGATATCAGCCTGTGTTAAGTTTGATATTGATGAAATGGGGGAGGAAAAAAAGGGAAAGTGAAAATAGGTTCAGCCATTTATGATCATTTTACTCCAGAGTCGTCATGTGGAAGATTTATATCTGAAGGATGAATGCTTGATAGAAAGTATTTCAAACTGCAGCAGAAAAACAGACGCAGATGAAATCTCTTAGCAGCTCAAAAGCTGACTTTACCTGCAGTTATGTATCCAGGTCCGATTATACAGTCAGCTCAGTCCAATGCATGAGTTTACTACTGGGAGCAAGGTTATACTTTTACAAATTAAACAACTCACAATGTAACGCAATGAAAAACAGCAGCGACGAGACAAACTGGCTCCTTCTGAATGTCATCCATTAGTGGTGCTGTTTGTTAGCTTGGCCATGGTAGTTGCTCAGATTACTCAATGAAATATCTCTTAAAGATGTAATGTGTAACAAAATTTCATCAAACTATGCTAAATACTTGACTTATAATCCCAAAAGTTTCCCATGATGCCACGCTGCTTCACGAAGTCAAAGTAGACTGAGACTTTTGCTTCATTCAATTCTGAAATCTAAGTATATTCACTGCAGTTATTAGGATTGGCTCTAATCATGATCCAAATATTCTTTTGGTTCTGATCTAAACTGAAGCGTGATCTAGTTCTTATTTACCAAATTCTAATTACTGTAACTCCAGTGTCTCACGCCCTCAGAATGAAAAATACTGTTTCTGTTATTTAATAAACAACGTCTACTTGCAAGTGTCAGTTAAGTTCTCTGTCAAGCCTTTCAGCTCAGGTGTTATGCAGAAATGTAAAGTCATTGTGAATGAAAACAAACGTTTGATTTAGCACAAAGATTTAGCTCTAAACCCAGAGAAAGTATGTTAGCACTGGGTGAAATCGACGAACCTCTGACGATACATGTTCCAGTGGCTTTTCCAAATTTTCCTAAAAACAACACAATCCATTACAGATTTCTCTGACCTTTATTTTCTCTTGTACTTTCCTCACATCGGCGATGTGGAAAAAAAAGATTCTGACATTCTTCCCATGATTGCCTCCTTCTAAGCATCGCAGCCAAACTATTAACAAAAACACCCATGCAGCTACACATTTGCCTTCCAGCATCATTCTGCATGTGCTGGGAATGTTCCAGGATCCGACTGATAATCAGCAAAGCGCAAGTGATGTGTGAGAAGAACAACGATTTGTTTTTCCTTTCTCAGTATTTGGTTTGGGAGAAATGGTTTGTACTCCATTCAATTTTCTCATTCTAACATTATGAAAAAAGAAATATTGCATGGAGACATACTGCAATTTACTACCTCTTAAAAAATGTACTTATTATTTATATTTGACAGCCCACATTGGACCAAGCTGACATTATGTTAAATATATTTTACCACTAGAGTCGATAAACATTTTGCAATTGAGCAGACTGCAATTAGTAGTCCCCATTTATTTAGATCCACCTCAAATAAAACTGGAATGGAACAGCGGACTGCATACGTTCCCCAAGGCCCAATAATCCCCTCATGAAATGACTTTTATTCAGTAGATATTAAAATATGCTTGATTTTTTCATTTACTCCAATGAATATTAGCAACATTACATTATCTCAGCTACACATTGGTGGTAGTTACAGGTTTCTAGTGTTATTTCTCACCATACAGCGACTGGAAGAATCCTACTCCCCTATGAAATCACATTTTAATCCACTACATTAAGATTTTATTTAGATCCCCATGAAATTACAGACTCATTCACCAACTCCCTAAATATGTCTGAATTTATTAATAAGTTTTACACAATTGTGTTAGAAAGCAAAAATATGTACAAAACAATGTACAAAACATTCCTGGATGTGCATGAAAACTGAAGGGCTTCTTCTCTGACCCATAATTCATCCCTTCACCAAGTTTCCTGGGCATCTGTTTGGTAGTTTGTGAATAATCCTGCGAACTAACTGTTTGAGAAGCTCCAAAATCAGAGGGTAAGAGTTGGCTGTCAGAAAGTCAAACACTAAAGACACACACAAAAAGAAACTATGGACACTGTGACAAGGATTTAATGGCTTGTATCTCTGTCCTCCCTCCTCAATCACTGTCAAATATCCAGGAAAAACAGATGTAATATATTCCTGCATGCTTCAAATACTGCGATCAAAGCGTGAATAACTGAATGATTGCAATTAAAGACCTGGATTTGAGGTATTAGAAGATTTCATAGAGGCCATGGACTGGTTAATTTGATCATTAATACACTGAGCTGCAAGTTCAATGGTGTATCAGGCAGATGGAATTAATTAACCACCGTCTTTGACGTGTTATGGATACACCACTTACATGCGGAGCACGTTCTGCTGTTAACCACTGCGAACGTGTCAGTGTGAGGAATCACAGAAGTTCATGTTCAGTGTCCAAGTTCGTGTAATGTTGCTGGTTGCATAAGACCAGATCCAGGTGCAAATGGGATTTGTGAGAGGTCAGGTGGTGGAAGCCTTCAGAGATTCAGACCAAAATCATAGCAGACAGGACTCTGACAGCTCTGAATAGGAAAGGTAATTGATCTCTGAGGTGGAATGAAGCAACTTGTAATCTCTGGAACTGGTGGTGGAGGAAGGGACTTGAAATGTCTAGAGTGTGGTGGGGGGGGATCCCTCCACTATGGATGTTTAAGCAGGGACTTGTAGTCTCTGTAATAAAGATTGGACATAGGACTCCTATAAAGGGGGGTGGGACGGGAAACTTACGATTTCCAAAGAATCAACAAAATGAGTGGTGAGATTTTTCAGATGACAGCAGAATAAAGTCTGAACATTTATTGGGATGTAGTCATGTTAGGTTGAAGGGAGTTTTCATACACTCGAGGAATCATTCAATGCTCCTGACGTCTTGTGGAGAGTTCAGTAGAGGGTTTATAGATCCTGGAAACTTTAAAGGTGTGAGTGTGCAGGTTTTTATGGTTGGAGGTTTGGCAGCTTCTGCTAAGAGAAAGTGATAACATGACTTATTTAACTAGACTCAGGAACCAATTTACTTGCTTATGTTTCAGTAGATTAAGTTCCAAATTGGCAAATCATCATTTGAATTATCGCCTAACAAAACTCATGTCTAATGATATGATATGAAAAATCCAGAGCAGCAGGACAGAGATTATTATCTCCACGGAGGAATTTGTGTTTTCACCTCGTCCGTTTGTTTGTAATCAAGATTTCCCAAAAACAACTGAACAGATCTCCACCTGGAAGAATGCAGTACAGGTCAGGGAAGAAGCCATTAAATTTCTAGTGTGGATCCAGACTCTAACATTGTGATATTGTTAGATTAGATTTGTTAGAGAATAATTCACAGATCTTTATTTTATTTTAAATGAAGCGCATTTAGGAAACTGATATGTGGGATTTGTTGCAGCTTTAATGAATTTTAGGGGTCTGATGAGCCTATGCATACTACATGCAATTCTAGTTTTTATATTTTTTGCTGAAGTGCATCTGCCAATTTACCGTACTTAGATGAGCTCTTGCATAATTTGATTTTACTTGGCCAGTTTCTCCATATTTCATTACAAGCCAGTAGCCCTCGGAGCTCGCCTCACTTTTAAATGATCATTTTGTTTTATCGGTACTTGTGGTTCCTATTCATCCGTGTGCACCGTTAAACGTGTGAAAATCTCCACCACCAATGGGCTTTTTTTAACTTTTACCCTCACCTCAGAGATGTAGTGTTACAGCACATTCCCCATTTTTCTGAGACCACACCGATTCTAGCAGTGTGTTGTCATTCAAGGATATCAGTTTGACTGTGTGGGGGCCAAAAGGAAAATGAATTGAGTTGCATCAAAGGAAAGAAAACAAGGGATAGGGTCTGTACAAATGAGGCAGTGATCCGTGCTGACAGTTCATTATGGCTGGTAAATGTGGCCCTGCGGGGGCGGCTGGAGGAGAGACTGGAGCCCTAATTGGAGCAGATGGGAGGGATTCTCGTCTCATAACAATATCACAACAATTTACATGCTTACACCTCTGGCAACTCAGGAAGGTGGAGAATGAGTTAGAACACTTGTTTATATAACCAGTGTTTCTTTATCTGTGCAGTTCCTCGTATGTCGCCTCCGTGACTAATTAGTAGATTTGTAGAATTGTTCATTCATTCATTCTTTATTTACATACATTGATCTACCTGTTCTGTGGACTGAGTCCTGCAGCTGACTAAACTGCAGGTCACTTTTACAGTTTCAGAGAGAAAGCTGCAATCAGCATCACAGCCCACATTCCAAACAGGGAGGTTTAGAATTGACACTGCACTCGTTTTAGCAACGACCACAATTTTTACCCAAGAATAGCATCGGACTTTGCAATAGGAAATCGCTATTCATTTCAAGTTTCCACCTAAAGGTCAGTGGCAGTTGATTGTTCCCTAATAATCACGTGGTCATTATAGTCATGACGACTCCATTTCCAGTACAGCCAAGACAGAGATTGCATTCCAAACCAAGGTGTTTTTCAAAACTTAGAAATACTTTAAACTCAACCGCAGCCTCTGTAAACCTAAATACACCCCAGCATCGCCTCATATTACAAATTTGTGATTTGGATGAATTTTGGAAAGCAGAGACAAACTGTGTTTTTATTTTATTTCAAGAATTAAAGACATTATCTATATTTGACATGAGGTTGTTAACTTTGAGAAGACCTTTGTCCATGTCTTTAAGAATTAGTTTTTTTAATAATGAGCTATACAACGACATTTCATCAAACTCTGTGTCAATATGTGTTCAAGTTAATTTTGTCTGTAACCCTAGAGGGTGACTTAAATTAAAGGAGGAACCACAAAGACATTTCTTGACAAACAGAGTGCAGGCTTCAGCTGTAGGGTTGGACATCTCATTATCTACAGTGACAGTATTGTCAACATCAATGGCCACCAGCAAATTGGCTCTTCCTCTTAATTGGCAGTAACAACGTCATCTTGGATCTTTAAGGCGAGTGTTTGCACGTGTTGCAGGTGCTGTCCCCTCTGACTTCGGCTGTCTTGGCTGAGAGGAGCATCAGGGTGCTGGATGATAAAGTGAGTGTGACAGAGCTCGGGGTGCAGTTGGTGTCGGGCCTCGCGCTCTCCCTGCAGCTCAGCCCAGGGAGTAACAGAGCCATCGTCGCCACCGCAACCACACAGGAAGTCAGTGAATCACTCAAACAGGTACGAGTCGGAGACATCTTGCATCGCTTGACATCATTTTCCAACCGGTCACGAGGAGAGAAAGTCTAATGTATTGTATAAACAATGCTTGTATTTGGACTAAAAGTTCAGGGTTGTATCTGGGTTATTATGGAGTCTGTTCCTCATTGTAATTTTTCTTTTATAATTAATTCTAGATATAGTGAAGCCATCTCCTTGATTTGCATATCCAGCCAGTGTATAGCTCAGTTATTCCTGTAATTATAATTTCAAATGGAGGAAGGCTCCTGTCTCTTCCCTTAGAGAGAAAGGCAACTGGCTTTAAAGGAGAGCAGTTTCAAATCCACTTGTTTCAGTGAGTCTCCCCACTGTAATTAAGGCTTACTTTACATCCCCCATGCACCTCTGTTTCCAGTTGCAATTATGCATTTATAGAAAATGTGCAGATTACTGTTATTTTCCGGGTTATTTGCACACCGTGTCACTGCCCTTGTACAAATTCTGTTTGCCTGCGTGTCTGTGTTTCAGGAGTCCCTCATCAGTGCTTGGCTGCAGTTCAGCGATGGATCCATGACGCCACTAGACAACTACAATCCTGCCCATTTCACCCTGGCAGCCACCTCTCTGGATGAACAAGTGGTGGCGGTGCAGCGCAGTGCCACCTGGAAGTGGCCCATCATTGTTGCAAAGGGCGAGGGTCAGGGTTTGCTTGTGCGTGTTGAAATGAGCCAGTCAGAAATGTGCCAGAGGGGCAAGCGACGTACGATTTTAGCCACTGGAATGGCAAATGTACAGGTAAGGTTCGGTCAGTCAGAGGAGCAATACAGACAACCAGGAGATCGGCGAACACGGCCTGATCCTCCATATTACGGTGGATCTATCTCTGACATGGAAACTGGGTTAATCAACCGTGGAGCAACTACCATCAGGGGCCATGTTCCAGTCAGGCCTAATGGAGGCCGTCTATCAGCGGACAGTGGAGCAAGAGTCCCAAGTGAATTCTCTGAATATCCAGATCAGGCTGAGCTGCCTCGGAGCCGCAGCACTGATGACGACTTGTTGCCATCTCGCCGAGGCCTCACAGACCTGGAGATCGGTATGTACGCCCTGTTAGGAGTCTTCTGCCTAGCCATCCTAGTTTTTCTTATTAACTGCATCTCTTACGCATACAAATACCGTAGCAAACAGCTGTCCCTGGAGGCCCCGGAGACAATGCCCCACGCCCACGACTGGGTTTGGCTGGGCCAAGAGGAAGGGCTATGTCTGCAGCAACAGCAGCATGATGAGCTGGGCGGTGCTCTAGAGGAAGGTAGTCAGCTCTTAAATGGAGGTGTCCAACGTGGTGTGGGAGGATGTGGCTCGAGTGGGAGAGATCACAGGAATGAGTCTCTTAACTCACCCACAACGAAGAGGAAGAGGGTGAAGTTCACAACCTTCTCCAACGTCAAGGCCAGTAATGGATGTCCTGTGCTCAGCCCATTAGCGCTGGTGCAGACCAGTGAGATAAAATGGGTATGTCCAGACATTGAGCTTGGGGACTCAAAGGATCTTAGGAACTACATGGAAAAGCTGAATGAGAATGCGATCAAGAACATCGCATAGGGCGCTTTCAATGAACTAAAGAGAAACTCACCTGAATGCCTTCAGAATAAGGAGGGGATGAGGGCCGGGGGAAGGAAAGGAAAGACATTAAGGGTGCAGGGAACAGAGCAGGCTGCTGTTTAACAGAACAGCAGGGTAGTGCGTTCAGCCTCTGCTGTTACCGTGACGCTACTCAGAAATGGTCAAGAAACGGACGACCACAAGACATGATTCACCATGACACCACAGCTGAGGGGGAAATGTGAACTTGATAGTTGTTGCTTAATGTTTGTTCTTTGTCTTTAATTGAGGTTCAGTTTCCTTTTCTATGCACCATTTTACTTTTTTTTTTAAATCATGTTTTAATGTTGTATTTGTTGTATTTTTTGCGCTTTGTTGATTTTATTTTTTAAAGTTGCTGTATGCCCTGTACCACCTGTCGGCGATTATATACCCCATAGGGGAGAAGAGTTAAAAAGCATTTTTGTATTGTATATAAATGAGTTTGTTTTGGAGGTATTATATGTACAGTAACATTTTTGTAAAAGTGCTGTTTGGTTATGTTTTGGTTTTTGTTTTGAGTTTTGTTTTGTCTCCAGAAAGCAGATCCATGCATGATGTTATTAAAGATGAGGCATGTGTGTCTGATCTGGAACCTGAAATGAAAGTGTATAGATTTACCGATACCTCTGGAGACAGGTCAGTTTAGTATTATTGCATTCATTCATTGTGGAGCTGAGTTTTTGGTTTGGTTTCAATAAGCTGATATTTGTTTAAACTCTTTATTTTTCCCTGCACCTTCCCTTCTTAGCTTTATGTCATTATTTCTATGATCTCCTTTGATTATGTTGTATCCTTCAGTAAAAGTACACTTCTTACATTCAAATCCAAACAAGTTACACTAAATACTGAAACACTGATCACCATTATGAGCATCAATAGACAATCACATCAATAATATGACTCGATCCCTCCATTGATAATGTTCTATAAAAATATATGAGTACGGCCTGAACACATTACTTCTTAAACTACTGTATATGACATTTTGGATCACAGTGAGTCATTCTAGTCAGTGAACGAACACAAATGATGTGTAATAAGCCCAAATTCGACCTCTTCACTACTTTTGTCATGTCAGTAATAGTCAAGCCCATTCTTTTATATCTCTGTTTTGAAATTGGCTGCTGGACTAATTAAAACTGAAGGTGACTCTTCTCCATCACGCTGCCGTGTGATTCATTGATCCGTCTGATTTATTTTTGCCTTAATTCCGTCTAGTTCTGCTCATCTCGCTGGTTCTTGTGAGCACACAGACAAGTGGCTTCATTAAATATCAAAATGAAGTGCCTGCTGTTGATGACAGTCGGTGCAGCTGCCAGCTGAAGCAGAAGAGATAAGTCATCTTTGCTGCGATCATTCCACGATTTGAAAACCCAGGATATATTCCGATATCCCTGTAGTTACAAGAGTCGGGTACAAAAGCTGGTACTTTTATAAAGTATCGACCAAGTTACGTTGATATTCCAGAGCACCAATTCACATGAAAATAATTGGTGCCAAATCTCAGTACATGCGTCTGGCTGAGAGGTAACAGAGCATAGAGAGAACGGGTGAGTTCAGACTAACATGGGTCCATGCACTTGATCAGCGGGTGGCAGTAATGCATGGAAAAATAAAGACGGCAAAGAGATTAAGGAGACTGCAGTGAGTCAGGGCAATGGTTTGTGTGTGGTTTTGTGTTTAGTTTAAATGTGGTTTTCAAAAGTCGATATTTGTAACGTGAAATGTAAAACTTGCCGTAAAACACGGCCGCCACACGCTAATGTTACAACTTGATTAAACATGTTTATCTTTAGAATATTTATTTAATTAGTTGGGTCGAGTCACTGATTGAGATAACTGATCTCTTTTTAATTTCAGCTTTTTACCAACACATACAAAAACAGTATCCAAGGTCTTATTTTTGAAGCTGTCTGAAAACAAAATTATGTGAATTACAATCTACATGGAAATATGCAGCATGCACTGTAAAAAAAAACTACAGTAGTTAATTCATTGAGTTATTGTTACTCACAAATCCATTATAAGAAACTTTCTTATAATCTGAATTAGGCACCATGTAATAATACCTGTGTGTATGATTTGTGCATCATAATCTTCTGTTAAAAAGGTTCTAGACCAAGTCTGCCAGAGCCCTAAAAAGCTTGTAACCCACTCAGACAATTAGTCATTTTCCACAGGATTACAGACATGCTCCCATTTCCAAAAGGGCAACCTAATTAGAGATTACTTAGTTCACTCTTATTACATGTTAATGTGGCATTTCCTGTGCAATTTGTCTTGCCCACTTACTGTACCTCTGAATCTACTCAGATATAATTTGCTCCCTAATTAAAGAAACCCTGAGGACCTGCACACCGCAGATGTCCCCAGGTTACCAGAGAACATCTAAAGGTTGTAAACACTTTATTGAATAAAAAAAAAAGAAACGCAGCAGGGGAGATGTATTTATTCACCTGCGTCAGGAGAGTGGTATTTTTCTAAGTCAATACATTTCTGCAGGTGTACAAAACAGTCTTCCAAATCATAGACTGTGTACAAAGATAGACAATGCACCAGTTTCCCTCCCCCAACCATTAATGAAGCCAAAATATCCCTGCTTGAATGTTACATCTTGTCCATTTGGAGCTGGAGTCTGATCAGTACCGGTCAGGAGATGGAGCTGCCCATCGCCGGATTTACGACCTTTACTGCAGCCAGTCACTAGGTGGCGCGGAAGACACTTTGGCTCGCCTTTGAGGGAGAATCAATGTCGGCCATCTTCGTGCACAGATTATGTTTCAAATCAACAGTGCAATGATGAGATTACCACAGGATAACTCAAACACTGTTCAATGTTTTATTAATGATTAAAAACTGATGGTACTTAAGAGATCACAATGTCTTGTATTCCACACATTCCCTGATGTGCTGGATGGCCTTCTGGTGGCATCAATTATTAATTACAAGATGAATTTCTTTGGTATCTAAAAGACAGTTGAAGCAGAGGGTGAGAAACTCGGATACATTCTGTCAACCGTTATTAGTGAGCTTCTGGCCCAACTGTCACTTTTCTAACTGCGTCTTGTTGGTACTCCAACAGACTGTTCTCTCTCTCTCCAGATGAAGCCTCACAGCTTGTGTGCGTTCTCCCCCTCCTGACATCTACAGGCCGTCAGAAACGATTCAGTTTTTCTGTCAACTGTTGCTGCACCATTCCCGTCTGTAGTCATTCATTTACCCATCTTTGTATAAACACAAACCTTTATAGTTTTAATGTGAGAAGCGTCAAAGGTGATCACATCACGTTTAAAACAACCACAAGTGCTGAACATCACAAATGTACTATATATAAAGAGATCGAAAATACTAAAAGCAATCAAATGCTATAATGACAAATATTTGAAGATTAAAATATTTCACAGTGGAAACACAGTCTGAGCAGTTCTGCTAATAGGTAAAGTGTTGTAGAGATTAGGGTGTAGATCTCAGGAAATCCGAGAAACTTCAGGCTGGTGGAGCTCAGTGCTCAGGATTTAATATGAAGGTGAAACTAAATTAAGTTAAAAAAAAGTAATGCCAGCCCATTAAAAATCTTAAAAACCAGCAATGTATTCTTAAAATCAATCCTGAATTTGACAGAATGTCAGTAAAGAGCCCAGTAATGGTGAAAGGTGATCACACTTTCTTTGTCCAGCTAGAATTGTGTTGCTGCTTTAATTCCTTCCCAACAATTTGAACTCCTTCCCTCCATCACAGTGGACCACAAACACCCAACTCCGCTCAACTTTCCCCGATACCTCAGAGACACTGCTCCAGCTGCCTCTCACTCCTCAGAGTTAAATCTCTTCCTCTTGTCCCTGTGTCCTCATCACTGAACTGCCAGCTACTCTTCTTGCTGACACAGAGATCTCGGGCTCTGTAGTCGAGCTCACTATCTGACAGCTCCTCTCAGGTGTAATGGAGCAGAACCCCTGTCACCTTTACGAAAAACTAACCCACTGACATCCACTCTGCCAATACACCTCTAATCATTTCCACATTTTCATATTGTTGCTATGCCAAAAACCTTCAACACAACTATGTCCTTTGCTTCTCACTTTCTTCCACATGCAAGCTGGAGAGAGCATCAACCCCTTTGTTTGCCACACGCTCTCTGTCACCACTTGCAAAACTGCAGTGACTCACACACTGATGAAAAAACTAAATGACGATGTGTGACTACAGACAAAAGACCATCCAGAGTTGGTGCAGGCCCATCTTATCCTCCAATCCTCTGCTGCAAGGTTTGCGCTATAGAACAATTATTCGCAGTGGGGTCTGGGAACCCCATGCAGGTTGTCCACAAACACAATGGTCCATTATTTGAAGCCAACATTTATTTTGGAAACGACCTGGATATAATGTAGGAGGTATGAGAGGCAAGAGGAAGAGTTACTATTGTATGTGGACACTGCTCACTGGCCAGGGTGAATTCCTGCTGCCATTACTGCAAGCTTTCCTGTCATTGGGAGGCAGGAGATAAACTTTGGATATAAATTTCAGAACACAGCAACTTGGGGACGGCTTGTCCAACTGGGAACAAGAACTGAATCTGCAGTTGAGACATTTTTGGAGGGAAGGGTTAAAAAGTCCAGTGTTCAAGATTTAGGACTATTGGCAGAAACTGCGATGTTTTCACTCATGTGTTTTATCAAAATTATACAAATTGTTGTTTTTTTCAGCCTAGAATGGGTCTTTATATTTAAATACTTTATATTTACATCATAGGACACATGGAAGTATGTAGAGGTAGTGACAGTAACATTGTTCCAAACGGACGCATCTCTTTTGGTACATGAAGGCAGCAGACTTGGGATGAGGGTTAGGGTTCCTGCAAAGTCTCCAGGAAATGAATGAAAGTCGCCCTAATGTCCCTAATGACCAGAGACGGTGTGTTTTGTTTGTATGCGTGTGTGTGTGTATGTATGTCAATGTGATTTATGAGTTAGCCTTGTGCAATTAAAGCAGGTTTGAATGTGGTATTGTTTTCTTTATTCTGCCGACATTGAAGCACTGCTCTTGTTAAAAAAAAATATTTTTCCTTTGACCCCGCCCTCTCTACACATGACCTATAAAGAATCTCCAGGTTTAGAGAATGTCACAACACAAGACTTGAACAACAATGGACAGTTCATTAAGGGAAATAAATCGTGGCATTTTAGCAATGTGCAGTTGATTATTGAAAATCCCTAAGGTGACAGCCTTATTGAGCGACCTGAGAGCTGCAGCTGGTAACGCACCCCCTTTCACTGAAGACAGAGCGCCACTTCTATTCTAGAATTTAATTTTTTTGCTTATTTTTATCTCTGATGGTATTTTTGTTTTTAGGCCTGTTCCCCCACCCCCCCCACCCCATCATCCTATGGGAACTGTGTATTCTGGGTTCCTGAAATGATAATGATGGCTTGTTCTCTGGTTTCTTTGTTCTTCAACACAATGCCACACTGACAGACCAGGCTAAGAGAATTGCTTTTGGAAAAAGTTTTGTCGAGAGGGAAAGTTCAGCAACCAAGAACACAGGCACACAGAGCTGCCGCTTGCTTGTGTTAATAAGTTAGTGTTAACATGCTGAATATTTATAGGCCAGACCTTTCACTGTATTAACACAGAAAACATGAAAGAATAGCTGCTTCAATCTAGACACATGCAAACCTTTTAATTTATGTGGAAAGCTCTTCACGTCTGAGATTGAGGGTTTATTATAATGTCCTCACCTTCTCTAAAATGTCTCTAATTATATAAGTTGAGGATATTTATAATTAGTAAGAATCAGCCATGGAGTTGTTTGAAGAATATACGATGCAACATACCGTCAATGTACTTCTGACTATAACGCCAGTCTTATCATCTACAATAAAATTCTACCTTATGATATTATAATACTATATCAATAGTATTTTGTTTGATTGAACAAAAGTACACTTAAGATATGTTGAATTTTTCTACTCATCAATGGAGCTAGTCAGAATATAAAGAACAGATTTGAATGTCATGATGAAACCATAGTCATTTCTATGATTACAAATATACAATGATATCTAAAGAAGGCAACAACAGCTGGTTGGCACTTGATTTACAGCGTCTAAAGTGTAAAATTAATACATATATGTTGTTAAATTTTCTTCAAATCAAGAAGAAGAAATAACAATAATATTAAATAGGTGTTTTCAGACGAAGCAGTTGCAGCTGATTCTGCCTCTTCACCCAGCCGGTGTACGGATCAATGAAGACTAATTGGTGCAGCAATCAGCTTCAAAGTGTGAATGATGATTCAGATGACGACAATTGATCCATCTATAAACAGACTGACGACACAAATGTCAACAGAAAGTTCAATGTTTGAAAATTAGTTCAAGACAATAAGATCATCTCTAGCGAGTGAATTAAAGCCTCCTCGGTGTCGAGAGGGTAAAATGAGGTTTGGCCATGGGTCAGAGGTTCTGTCCTTTAAATGCTGGCACTTTGTAGGACGAGTTCAAACCTGTGCTCCTCTGCCCGTCACGTCTCCTTGTGCAGAGTCATGGTGGAAGAGAGAGTAAATAGATTTCTGAGAAACTGTGAGTACTTGACGATCAAGGAGCACATAGTGTTCAGTTTGAGTTTCGTCACCGATACCCCTGGTGCTTGAGCCATCACTTTAAAAAGATGCTCTGCAAATGGAGACAGGAAAATGTGTAGATTGTTTAGAAATGCTGGGTAAAACGTTTTCATAAAAGCTGTGATGGTAAATTAAGAATACCCCTGGAACAGATTGCATTTTACCATCAAGTCATTTAAATAAATACACGTTATCTCTAAATCTGCCTCTAATTCAACAACAAATAAATTCTACATGGAGCTTTTAAGTCATGTTTCCCTGGATAAATCAAGGTTACAACAATTAAATACAAATGCCAGCAGGTACCAAAAATAAAATTACACAAAGCTGCTTACACCAAATGTGGTTTTTTTTTAGATTGCGTGTGTGTCACTGCTATTCTTCATGCACTGAGTAGGCAGTGGTTTTTCTGTGTAGTCATAGAAAGGAAAATATCAGCCTTCACTTTCCCTGTACAAGATGTACAGAATAAACAATAACAGCTGGAGAGAGAGTGTTTGTTTGTTTGTTGTCGGTAACCCCCCCCAACCTCAACATTTAGCACAGTTGCATTGTTATTGACGACACATGTTGGCATTAAGCATCAATGTGCTTGAGAGAAGAAGCATTTACACCATAGCCATTCCTTTCGGTACCAAGTGTAAAAACCCAGTCGAGACAAAACTTGATCTAAGTGCATCCAGCAGTATTTGTTGTTCAGTCATATTTAATTCACTGGATCAGACAAACTTGCAGGTCATATTGACTCACAATATATGAATATTGCAATTTTACACTCAGTCAGGTGCAGACCTCCACCAAGGCCCAACACTTCTGAAACCACAAGACAAGATTTTTATTTGGAGCTGAACCAAATTGCACAAACTGTCCCACAAACATGCTTGATTTTTTCTTTCATCTAAATCTTTTAGAAATCAACAAGTGAAGGAAAAACATCTCCACATTCAGCAATGTTGATCCACACAAAGATATAATGGCTTCTTCTCTGACCCAGAGCACATCCCTCCAACAAGTTTTTCAATCCATCCAGTAGTTTGCAATCTTGCGTACAAACATTCAGACCGAAGGGGCCAAAACAAAACCTCCTTGTTGTACAGGATCGTCCACTCATTGTAAAAACATGAAATTTCAACTCGACCCCCAGTGCCCACAGGGGACAGAGTAGAATATAAAAACAGAACTGTGATGACGAGAGAAACAGAGAATCCAAACAACTGCTCGAAGGTGGAAGATCACTGTTGTGAACCGTTTCAGACCAATTTAAGCCGTTTCTGAAAGGCTGCACTTTTCCAATCATTCTGTTGTGACAGGCTGGGCCTCACGCTGTTTAATCCAGGGGAACACAAAGCGTTAGTACGTCTCTTAACGTGAAGCCATGGAAGAAAGGGGCTCTATATTTAATGCGCTGTAAAGAAGGGATCAGATGATTGCCGTCAGAGGATGGGAGGCCCCCGCACTGTCAGGACTATTTTCACTTCATCCCAGCCAAGCGATTTATCAAATTACAGCCTGTTTCTTGGAGCTGACAGGAGAGATTACCAAGACATGGAGAGGAGAGGTGGTTTTCACTGGAGCCCTTCGCCTCTGCCTCTAATCAATGAAGCGTTCTCAGCACACACCTATCTGCACCTATCACACTTTCTCTCTCCCTCACCTCTCTCACTCTCAGACATCCACTACAAAAAGAAAACTTCAGATCTTCAGGATGTATGTGACAGACCTGTACACAGTACATGCACGTGTGGCACTGTGCGTCTGCCCGTGCGGGCGATGTGTTTTCCTGGGATTGTGTTGTGGTGAGATGTAACGTGGCAGAGGCTCTGGCAGCTCCATTATCTGGGTGGTGTCAGCTTGTCTACAAGTGCATGCTTCCTTTCTTCGAGCCCACTCTCCCATTCAAACATTTATTTGCTGCCCTGACATTTCCTGTCAAGCCCCCTCTGCCTCTCTGTCAGCGAGACCGGCTCACTGTACTGCACACTCGGCAGTTTCTCTTTTGTGACCCCCCCCCCCTCTAACCAAAGTCATTTTGCAATGTTGAAAAAAAGTCATCTGAAGTAAGCTGGTATTTCAGACATTTCCCACATGTTAAGGTTAAAGATCCTGTAAGAAGAAAACTATTTTTGGTATTTTCACAAAGTGGGTCACTGTGTTTTGAGTCCAGGAAGTCTGCAGTGCTAGCTGAGGTCCACAGTGACTCAGCATTTGATGAAGTCAGTAATTGGGGGCGAAGTGTAAATAGATTACCGATTCAATTAACCCTCTAACAGTCGGCAGTGCAGATCGCAGACAGACGTTTAACCTCTCCAGCGAAAAAAGTCCCACAATTCAGTGAAGCTTCTGCAGCAGACGGCAGCCTGCGACACTTTTTCCGCAAGTACATGGCAGCTCAATTAAAAAAGTTATAAATGTGGAAATAATTCTGCGTGCCGTTTCACTAACTGCCAGGGAGGAAGCGGCGGCAGAGAAATGTCATCTTACTTATGCAGCAAATGAGAGCACAATTAAGTGACTCTGGAGGTCTGTAACAACCTGCTGTGTCGCTGGCAAGAATGAATCAAGAGCCCGATACTGGAGGAAAGTGGATTTTATACAGAGTGTTTTACCTTGGCACCAGTTAGCACCTTCCACATGAAGTACTATTATTCATGGCCAGAATGAGTTTGGATATTAACGACAGAAAAGGTCAGAGTCCCAGCTCCTTACAGGCAATTATTCTACTTCCACCTGTAAATTTATATCCGAGCATCTGTGTAGTTTTAAGTGCAATCACACTGTGCCAAATGATGAAGCATTTACGCAATTATACAAATATGTGTATATGTGTGTATATGTGGCTCTGGAGTGAGTCCTGCAGCCACTCTTTATTCGGCACGACTCAATTAGTGCAGAAAGAAAAGCTGCCACCAGCAGCATCATCCCAGACTCAACACACAGCCCATTCCAAACAGACAGGTTAAGAACAAATTCTTTTAAAACAAAGGTTTAACCAGATTAACAAGTCTGGATTTAATATTGATTTAATAAATGTTAATACAGCCACATTTTGGTAATCCCAAATGTTTCCTCTATAAAGAAGTCACGCATTCTTTAAGCGTTCCTGTCATGAAAGCTCCTTAAATAGGAAGAAAACAACCATTGTTAATCATTCATTTTCTTGAGTCTTCATCCTGTCTGACATACATAAGATTTATTTTAACGGCTGTATGTTTTTAAATCAAAAGGATTTCCAGCAGCGAGTTGTGTATCCAGAGCATAATCTGTTCACTTCTTTCTATTCTCTCCCACCGTCCTCCCACTTTTCTCATTCATTTCCTGCTACCTCCCTCTGTCTCCCTCCTGGCTCCAAAAGAAATCTGCTTCAAACCATCTGTCTCCCAACGCAACACATGCCTCTTCTAGTCACTGGTGAGACGGAGCGGAGCATGTGGGGACACAACAGACCCATTACGGGAGCAAATCCTTCCTTCTTCCTCTCCTTCCCCTCCTCCTTTCATCCATCCAGATGCTGGAGCTCAGAAACTGTCAGTACACGGTTGCATTGAGGGATAAAGAGAACCAGCTGTTGATGTAACTTCAGTGGCACACAAGGAAATTATATCGGACAGGAGAGTAGAATGGCAGGTTTCACTTTTACACCTCTTTTCCTCACTTGTCGCCTGCTGGTTGTGAGTAAGAGAGCATGTGCGCCCTCATTTCTTATTTCAGTGGCGTTTGCTCCCTAACCCCATCTTCTGTGCTCGGCTGCTGGAATTCTGAGCCAGATATCTCAGCAGGATGTTTGGAGGCTGTGATGGAGGATTGGGCCTGCGTGAAACAGACCATGGGACCTGCACGCATGAATAAAGACGAATAGGAGCGGAAACATTTGTTTCAACTTTGTCATTGTTCATTTCGTAGGGAGTCCAACTGTTTTCCATATAAAGCCTGTAAGTCTCTGGTGCCTGCATCAGCTCAGACGGGTGTCTGGGTGCATCTCAGCAGAGGTCACCTAAGAGCTCATTATATATTTACTTAAAAAGGTAATAAACTGAACAATTTCAATCTGAACAACACCAATGTCCTGGCTGACACGAAGAGTTGGGTTGATTTCCAGTTTTTAACTGCTGACAATGGTGATGGTCAATTTTTAAAAAGATATGACAACATGAATAATTTAATATGTTTGTTTAGAAATCAACTAACGAAGCCACTAGTGTATGTCCAACAACACAAAGATCACAATTCAGTTGTGGGAGGAGGAGAAGATATGCATGTGCACATCGAGTGTGTTTACTGAAAAGATTGTGTTTTTTGTGGGAGAGACGATGAGGAGACATGACAGAAAGCTTGCACCATAGGTCCTTGCTCTGGTGCAAGCTGGCTCACTAATATAACATCACTTAAGAGAGAGGATGGTGGTGATGGGAAAGATTCCCCGGCTCCTGGCTGAGATCTGATCACATTACGAGCCCGACCGCCTCCACTTGTGAAATTGCTGCTGAAATCACATTCTGATCCCAGCGTCTCCTGCATACATTTACAGCCGGCATTAACACGTGTTCATCCTCACCCAGATCACGTCTCCAGATACAGACTGTGTTGTAATGTCGAGTGTAAAACGGGTACAAGGTTCTGATCCTGCTGCCGTCAGCAGGAAGGGAGCTGTCCAAGGTACCAGTTCCTGTCTGCACCGACACTAATGCTTACTACAGGCAGAAATCTCCAGACAGTGATTCACCCTTAGTCTTGATTTCTACTGTTTGAAGGTTACACTCTGGGGTAGATTCTCCTGGCTGCCGGGTCTCGAGTGAATCTGCCTCATCCATGTGCCACGTAAACTGTGCTGTAAAGTCTATTGTCTTTATCTGCTCTTGGGTTCTTATCAGAGTTTAGCTGTTTACAGGAATAAACCCTCACTAAGAGTGACAAAGCTATTTCCATAAATGTACACACATGAAGGTGAAATCAACAACACATGCATTTGGAATTGAAATATTAAGATATTTAAATGAACTATGTACAACTGCTTGTGATGTTCTCAGAGTTGAAAAAAAAAACTGCAGGAGGCATAAAGTCCTGCAGCCGAAGGCCATGATAAAAAAAATTTGATAATCTTATTAAGAAAACATTCATTCTTGTTCATCTCATCTCTTATCGTTACTTCTTTTCATCAGTGTTTTGCAGCTGAATGGGAAGCTGGTTGTGATTTTGCTTTTACAGTTGAGGAAACATCTGCAGTTGCACTGGTGGCTACCTAGCAACAAAACCACTAACAAAAGTCTTTCTACTTACAAAACACAAAGTGGTGATGGAAATAGACTGTTCTGCAGGTAGCCAGCTGATGGATAGAAGCCTGTTTCTTCACTAAATATAAATGTTTGTGTGAGAAAGAACTAGCCCCCAACTTTCACAGGAAGCTTAAACTGCCCATATCCCTTCTGGAAGGACACAAGCAGGGTTAGTTAAAAAAAAATACCAATAAACAATAATAATAAACCTGCACAATGTGTACAGGCTTTAAAAGCTTTTACACTCATGAACATGTTTGTTTCATAAATACAATATTCACAGACTCCGCACAGCCACAGGTGCTCAGACCTCTGCTGGAACAAAAGCTGGGAGATGAAGAAAATTTAACTAAACAACTGAAAAGACATCACGGGTTAAACAGGAGAGTGAGTGAGACGTCAAGCAGAATGGGTTCACTCCTGAGAAGAGTTCTAATGAGGAAGATTAACTGAAAAACACCTGAATGGATGTGAAGCTGCTACTGTGTCGGGACTTTAATCAAAGTATAATAAAATGAGATCGATTAGAATAAAGGAAAGCTAATTTTTAAAGCTGTTGTGTAGATTGGGTAAATGTTTTTTATGGACTCACATTAGACACTGAAACATGTGAACCGTGAGAAAGAATTTTGCTAAAGAACTTTGTTGAGTTGATATCAAGACAATATGTAAAGAAATATATTCAGATATAGCCACAGTTTTGTTTTCCGATAAAGACAGTGAGACAAATATTGTGCACAGTATTGTTATTTATTAATTTCTTCTATCTCTAAACTATAAAACCCATGGCTAAATCTCAGGGCACCCTAGAGTGCCACAGTCCCTCTTTCTGGTAATCTCTGCTATACGTTAACAAGACTGCAGACACACAAATAGTGCCACATGTATTCATTTAGATCAGCACAGACAACAGGAATGCAAGTCGCCCTGATGATGTTCAAATTTCTTTTTAAACAGTTTTTTTAGACAGATGAGACAAATTAAAATTGTCACTTACTTCAGGCAAATAGGTGGGGCCTCAACCTGCTGTTCCCTCCATGACGTGCGAATGATGATCCTGCACCTGAAGAAGTGCTTCAGCACCTCAGTCACTGCAAACCAAAAACACTGCAATCAAATTCACAAGCCTGTTTGACATGAATAACTACCTCCCTCCACTCAGCGATAATATAAAAATTATTAGAAATTCACAGATCTAGACATTCACATATAGATTTGGGGCAATCGGCAGATTTTGATGCCTACTGCTCCACTTGGACTAACCTAGCTGTGCACTTTAATTCAAAAAAATGTGAAACCCATCTCAACCTTTTTAAATAATGCCTCCAGTGTACATTCAGCTCCATTATCACAGAGATATGATGAATCACATCAAATCGTTGCTGCAGAGAAATGACTGAAATACTGAAGATGAGCTGCAATTAAAACCCAATGTGTTCTGAGTTCTCAACGGTTTGATCTCGTCATATGAAACTCTCATTTTCAGCTTTAAATAAAAACTCACATTGCCCTCTGAAAGCAGCAGAGCGAAAACATGACTGAAGTCAGCATTATTTTAAACACCCATCCCAAAGACGAGCTGCTCCCACATGTCATGTTTCATTATGAATCGTGGAGGATTAAAAGAACAAACAGAAGCCTGTTAACTTCCACACCAATTCATAAAGAAAGACTTTACCCCAGATACAATTTCTGACTACAACAAGGAGCTGCAGAAAAGAAGAAAGTTAAAGTTGAGACACTGTTGCCTCTTATGATACAGTACTATAAATAAAAAGTCTCATCTCCAACTGTATGCATTGCAAGGAAAGAGTGCTGATTTAATTAGTTACAATTTATATATTCCAGAAATATTTTCCTTTAAAGCAGAACACGAAAGAAGCCATTTAAGGTCAACACATGGTTTCAACACATACAGATAGTCCGACAAGCCGAGCTCTTCATAGTTCGAGATGAGCAGATGAGGAAGGTCGGAACTTTTAATACATTCAATTAAGTTGAAATTTAAGTTGAAATCTGTGATTGAATCAAATCATGGGATGCTACGCCACTGAAACCTGCATGAACTACGCACCACTAAACAGCAACATGTGCAATTCAAGGTAGAAACAAACTGCAATGTGTTCAGACATTCAGTTTTTCCCTTCGTGTATCAAAAATGAACAGGTTTACATTTGTCAAGTTTGTCTGTTTAGGAAAGAGGAAATCATATTGTTTATTTTCATTTTTGGTTTGAACAGCACGTTATTTACAAAGCAGATAGAATATGAGTGAAAGAGGAGGAATAACTACCCGGCCCCCCGGGACATACCAGTAATATACAAAAAACCTCACTTATACAGTAAACAGCACCAGGCCGAGCCATTGAAAGGTTGAATAGTTCTATTGGAAGAACAAGAGAATCAATATAAGCCAGACACACAAAAGCAACAAGACGTATTCAGTGAGAACAGTTTATTGGAGCAAAAGACAAAATAATACATTATGTCTGAAATGCAGAAAGAAAACAGACATGGAACTTGTGGAAAGTTCAAATGTTGCCACCTGACACTCATTAAATATTACACAAGTGATATATCAGATACATCTTTGTGTATTTTTTAGTTACCTCTTTCAGACCTTTTCCAACACCGACCTCGTCAGGACGAGTAGATCTGAGACGCAGAACAGAAACATCACTCAGAAGCAATTTAACCAACATTCGGTCCTGAGGTGAACACGACAAACACCTCAGCTCGTGGATAAGCATAGAGACGTCGACTCATGAATCCTCACATCTGCACATTTGACATGAAGACGCAGGGAAAGGTAATAACTTTCTATTTCTCACTCTCCTTTCCTCCGTCTCCCCAATTTTCTTTCTCATGCAACACAATGTAATTACGTCTCTCTGCCACCGAAACCTGGGCAGCAATGATTGAAAGAGACACACCTGGCCCACTGATGTCCTGTGGGTGTAGAGACATCAGAAAGCTGGTGAAGTCAACCACCTGCTGGGTGCACCCCCGCAGGTCGCTGCTTGATCAGCAAAATCAATCCACCACGGCTTTAGACATGTAGTGAGAATGACAATCAAAGTCCTACGGCTGGAAATGACAGTCTTTCGATTGGGATCTAAAAGCTGTTTTGGACGGTGCAGCCATCAGTTCTGGTGATTAGTACGATGACGCACTGATATCAGATGCTGTCAGATAGATGCCACTGTTTCCAAGTGCTCCCTCATGGAGCCGGGTTGGGACTGTATAAATAAAACTGGAAAGAGTGTGGTGTGTTTTTATTAAATCAGGGGCCACAATTTACATGAAAGGGGACAATTACATGTCCAACATCCTTGTACATAGCCTAATTCAGTGAGTGCACAGTCATTCCTTGTTTATTTAGAAAGGATAGGGGACTTCAGGGTCGATAAGACTTCAGCTGGGGCCAGTACCCACTGACAGTCTGATATAACCACTGGCACATGGTCAGTAAAGTACAAGTTCGCAAAAACCAACTCACATTTACTCTATTGTCCTTGCATGTTCCCTTTATAGACAAATACACATAATTACAGGCATCGTTCTATTCCCAGGGACAAAAAATAATAAAATAAAAACAAAATCCATACTGAAATAGCAGCTTTTTCCCCCTCATCTTTACTAAAGCACATTACAGCTTCTGAAATATTGATTAAAGCAGCAGTATTCTTTACTTAGTCTTAAAAAAAGACATTAACTCCCATGTATGCTTTGATCAATACATGGTTACATTTTGTTTTCCAATAATGTTCATTACAGAGAATTACTTCTTTAGACAGTTTTCTTTCACATGCACTTTGTAGAACATGTACAAACACATTCAATATTTAAGGTAGAATCACAGATATCCCCACTGAGAGGGTCATTCAGGCCACCACTTATTCCCATTTAGACCATTTGTAGCTTGTTTTTCAATACCACATAAAATGTTCTGCAAAGCCCTTAAATTCAAATGCACTGGAATTATTTTCATTTTATTTCTTACCACTCATACACCACAGGAAACTGTTACTTTAAAATGTATGTTTTTCAGCTGTTCATTTTGTATAAATGTTAAAACAGTGGCAATTTGCAGTCTTTATTTAACAGCTACACCACACATATCATGTTTAAATATGTTACCATGCCCCATTTATAACGTCAAGAAATTGATGTGGACCCAAATGCAGATGCAACATGAGGACAGATCAAATGTCTTTAGTTTGACTTACCAGTAGGATGAAGCAGGAAGGACAGCATCAGTGTCCAAAACTCAAAGGCCAAAGACAGGATGAATAAACACAACCAGGGAAACTGACAACTGAACAACTGACAAAACCAACTGGACCAGAGGAAAAAACTAGATCCACAAAGTTAACGAGACACAGGTGAAACAAATGAAGGGCGAGCAGGTGGCCCACAATTGGAGGGAAACCAGACAAAGACAGGAAGTGAAGTGCACTTAAATGAGAAATGAAGGTGAGCCATAAAGTAAGACAGGAAGTGACTAAAAAACTCAGGCAGAGCCAGTACACTGTGGCCTTCAATATAAAAAAAAATATTTGTTTTTGTCACTTCTTAAAACAAAGTTACAAAGTGCTTCAGAAATAATTTTTTCAAATAGCACATGAGACATATTTAAGCACGACTGTCCTGGATAAGTTTAGCACCGTGGCACAATTAACATAGTGGCCTGCAGCAGACTGTGAGAGAGAGCAAGTGATGCAGATAAAACAACAGAGAGAGCAATACATCTGAAATTCAATGTGATGCATTCATGCCTCCTTGTTAGTGGTGCACAACAAACCCAGAATAAAATAAGATTTAGTCAACACTTGGTTTTATTCTGAAGTAAACACAGCCAACTTACATTGAACAGCAGATGTTTCATATGAAAACATAGGAAGTAGATTAATAATTTGGCACCATAGGCTCTGATCTCAGGGAAGAGCCCGACATAAGTTTATATCTATTTCAGACTAACCTCTATACGTGCTCAGACCACAAGGGAGACGTGCTTCTAGTGACCTGAAATGGATAAATCCAAAACCAGCTATGCACCTGCATTTCACCTGCAGCATCAGACTGGAACACAACTGCTAATTATAAACAGGCATTAAAAAAAGTCATGCAGATTTATATAAAGCTGGCAGTGAGTGCAGCTCTGTGCAAAAAAAATAGAAATAAGAAAGTGAGCAGGGAGGTAAATTATATCCACATGTGTGTTTTCATTGTTGGTGCGTTGCACAGAGGGAGGTGGGTGGCGTTAAGTGAATATAGTAATGAAAAGTGAGAGGTGACAAATTGAAGGGGAAATGAATAAAGGAGTGAAATCTAAACGCTTCCGCAAATGTAATGTAAAGTGGTTTATATGTAAATCACATGGAGCAGATGGTCGTCATGGTCACCAGAGTCCTCTGCTGTGAAGCAGGATTTGTGGTTATCAAGGTAACTTCAGGTTTTTCAGTCCTAAAAAGCGGGTTCACTTCTTAACCGGATATATCATCATGGTAACTTATGAAGAACCACTAACTTGCAGCATAATGGTCCAGTCACACGCACACGTTTCGCAGAATTCGAAGTGAATATCGTGGGTTTGGGTTAAAGAGCCTCCTCACTCACACAGTTTGTAAGAGAATGTGGAAGCTAAGGTTCGCTCCTGATACAACTGAGAATGTGTGACTGAGCCCTAAGGATCAAGTTGGAGACAAGAGTTAAAAAGCCTGTCAACAACTGAACTACTGACCAATCAGATCACCAGAATGATCATCGATCTACAGGAACCTGAATGGGACAAAGGAGGAAAAAGAAAATTCCTAACCTTGCAAAAGTGAAGCTGGATAACTAAAACGTGTTGAACTCACCTCATAGTACAGACCCCTGGTAAAAAACTTTGGGATTTTGTCATAAATTTCAATTCTTCCACTAAAATTCTGCAGCAATTAGCAGCAAAATGATTTTCCTGCAAGAAAACTTTAAGAAATAAGCTGAAAACTCAGTTGTGAATGGATCCTAAATCCTGTAGTTCCTCTAGTTTCACCTTGTGTCTGACACTGACACATTCCCGAGACACAAGAAAACGCAGCGTCAGCAAAAAAAAGAAAACTATCAAGGGGATACAGTGAGAGTGACAGGTGAGACGGGAGGAAAGAGGGAGAGCAGGAATAGTGGGACAGGCAGTCATTGTTTAAGGCCTGTGGGCAAAGATGAATGTAGCATATATGTAAAAGTGTGAAGGCAGACAGGAATCAAGGCAGAGAGGCAGAGAGCCGAGAGAGCAGAATCATGGTTGTCAAGAATTAAATGGATAGAGAACTGTTTACCATGTAAGAAAATACTACAGTTCCAAAACAAATGGAAGATGAAACGTTCACAGTGGCTCCAAAATGTTTGTGTGTTGAGCTAAATGAAAAATTTCAAGCATCAGCACGAGCTTAAAGAATCTCTTCCAGATGTTTTCCCTGTTTCTGATGAGACTGACTGACAGACGAGTTCTATCTCATTTCCCTTCATCCTGAACCCACACATACACAGACATACACAGTCTGGACCGGGCTTACTTTGTGTGTGCGAGCATATGCATGTGTATGTTACTCACACACACACACAGACACACACACACACACACATACACACACACAGACACACTGCTCTTCAGATGTGAAATGAGGTGGAAAAGTAACTGCAAAGCCAGTCAGGCGCCTGCAGCCATCTCAGGGATGAATACAACTATTCCATTACAAACACCTTTAATGTCGCCATGGTGCGTCTGACTTGCAATGCAGTCACATCATTTCGTTTTTCTTGAAGGTACCAATGCTGTATAATTTTTAACTTTTTTTTTCTTACTGCAACTTTGCCGTATGCAACTCATAAAAGGGCCCGAGCAGCCTTTAACCAATGTGTTTTATAAATGGGAGAACATAAAAAGTTGTGTCTCTTCCAAACTGGGTTTAGTTGAGCGCAACACATTAGAAACCTGAGGAAATAAATCAGATGACAGGAGCGAGGTGCTGGAGGTGAAAGACTCTGGAGAGATGCGTGAAAGACTCCTGACATCTGCGGCAGTAGGATTACTATAAATGAAGTGCTCCTCTTTCACATAGACTGTTTTAATCTGCCCGTCACAGCTGTGTTATCTAATGTAAGTTCCTGTTAGATTCATATCTTTTTTTTTACTTTATTTTGCAAACGATATCTTTTTTAAAGCTCTGATTTCTTCCAACTGTGATTTTGTCATTAGAATTGCCATGAATTCAACAGAAAAGTTAATGAGGATGATCATTCACTATGTGCTCATCCATTTCTCTTGTTTCCCGTGTAGAAGGCAACAGAGTGCACTCGTATATAATCATTTTATTTCAGTGTCTTGGTTAGAAATCCTAGTCATAACAATTTCTGTCAATAGTTTCCTCAACCTTATTTATCATCAGTTCGAAATGCTGCAGGAGAGTTTGGCGCACACAGTCAGGACAATAATGAACAAGCGAGAGAGTTATAGAGAGAAAATTGCCCAAAGATTTATGAATGTGTGTTTACAACTGACAAATGATTCTGCTCCTGAATCCGTCAATGTAATCAGAGGTTTGTTGTTGTTGTAAACCTTTTAAACTATTAGGAATCTCTTCCACCTTCTCCTATAAATATAAGTATTTGCTATAAAAACAATACAAGGCTGTTTCCTTGAAGCATCGGTAAAATAAAATATAACATTTTCTCTTTGTTTTCTCCAAGATGCACACTTACAGTAGAAAACTATGCACATGCACAGCAGAAGATCCGTCCATACAAACTGTGACTGACATGTGTTGACATGTGCTTTACTGTTCTAACTGTAAACAGAACAATACTAGTGTGGATTGTAAATGAGCCTTAAAGCTCCACTGTGGCTAAACTCAGGCTAGCATGACTCAGATGAAGGGCAAGCTTTCATCTAAGTACACTTCCTGTTTACTGTGCATCTGTTGATGGAGCTCTCCTATTGAATCACAGCCTCACAATTCCAGTCTGTTGCTCCACTATCGCGGCTCAAAAAGTAAGATATCAGTGTGAGTAAAATCATAAACGCTCACACGACCCGGAGCTTAAGGCTCAAAGTGTCTTTGCGAGAAAATGAACTAAGGGAAATATCTTTTTTCTGTACAGTTCCTTCACAAAAAGAGGATCGTAATTGGGATCATTTCCAAACACTTTCTGAGGAGCAAGCAGTCGTGTAGTGATGACTCATCCCGTCTTCCTGCGCCCCAGTCTGTCTCTCGAGCTTCTTCCTCACTCCTCCTCCCCTCCCATTTTCTTTCCTTTCACTTGCACACTTACAAACTGTGAGTGTTGTATATTGTCTCCATTCGTGAGTAAACAAAGAATAAAACATCCATGGTGACATTTACTCATTTACTCTGCTTCATCACATCTCTCCTTTGTCAATTAGGCTCCTTCTTTCTTGTGCTCTCACAAAACTATTTTCCTCAACCTGTCTCATTAACACAAACAACGTCCCTCTTGTCTTTTGTTCCTTTCTTTGTAAAATTGGTGACATTATCATATGATGCACAGCGTGCACTGACACCGTGCAGACAAGCTGTGACAGCGACGAGTGTTGCAGGGAGGCATGAGGTACTCGGGTCTTAATGAGCTGCCATACAGTTTGAGATCCCCTCCACCTGCGACGTGACAGTCACCACTCCCATCTCCCCTTTTTCATCTGATGCATTTATGTCTTCTTTGGTCTTTATCTGCCCATCCGTCCGAGTTAATGCACTTTTAACATCTGTTCCATTCAGCAGACGTCACAATAGCTGTAAATATATATATATATATATATATATATATATATATAAAGCGCTTGAGCCACATCACATTAGTGTGTGATTTTTTTTTTCTTCCCACAATCAGCTCCCATCATCTGCGAGCACGTGTCCACACATGTCCAACCTGTGGGTAACACAGCTTTATGAATATACAGTGAGTGACCTTGTCTCTTCTGGCCTACATTATCAGGAGTGTGCCATGGAGAGGGTCCACTAATGCACACTAATCCTCCAACACAATGACCCCAATCCCTTAAATCTGTCAATAGGGAGGCTGATGCTCCAGATTAGATATCCTGCTGTAATGATACTGACTCTTGTTGTTTTTAAGACAAACACACGGAGTATTACTGCTACGCCACTTGTCTCAATGAATCATTTCCAAACCAATTTAATAGAAATTAGATTTTATCAAGCTGTTTCCCAACCACCCAAGACTAATTCCTATTTCAGCCAAAGCTTTTACTTAACTGTGTTAAAGGCGTAGACTGTTGATGATGACTTTCATGCAGAGACTAAGGGATGACTCTAACTTTTAAAAAACACTTTCAGTGGAAAAGCCCACATAGATTTTGGATACTGCATTATAGTTT